GCTGTTTGTGGATCTGATGGTTTCACGCTCACGTGTAAGCGCACGCTGTTTGTGGATCTGATGGTTTCACGCTCACGTGTAAGCGCACGCTGTTTATGGATCTGATGGTTTTACGCTCACGTGTGGGTGCACACTGTTTGTGGATCTGATGGTTTCACGCTCACGTGTAGGTGCACGCTGTTTATGGATCTGATGGTTTCACGCTCACGTGTAAGCGCACGCTGTTTGTGGATCTGATGGTTTCACGCTCACGTGTAAGTGCACGCTGTTTGTGGATCTGATGGTTTCACACTCACGTGTAAGCACACGCTGTTTGTGGATCTGATGGTTTCACGCTCACGTGTAAGCGCACGCTGTTTGTGGGTCTGATGGTTTCACGCTCACGTGTAGGTGCTCGCTGTCTTGGAGCCGGTGGCTCTGCACTCATGCGTCAGGGCGTGCTCTGTCTGCCCTGGCGTCTGGCTCCTTTCCCTCAGCCCAGTGTCTGCGGCGTCCACCTGGGCCGCTCTTCCCTGTGGCTGGTGCGGTCGCACCGAGTCCTCACGGCGTACACGTCCACCCTGACACTTCTGTGGCTCGTTCTCGTGCCAGGCTCGGCGGGTGGGCGCCTGTCTCGGGGTCAGGGCCAAGAACCCAGGCCAGACGACCTGGGAGCCAGCGCAAGCTGGGGAGGGCGGAGGCTGAACTGGCGCAGGCGACTCCAGAGCCCAGGACCTCGTCCACCTGGAAGGAGGGGCGAGCAGGCCGAGGGGGCGGGGAGGTGGGGGCTGAGGGCGGTCTTCCTGTACCCCCGGCACCCCCGCAGCACCACCCTCCCACTTCCCTGTGTGCTGGTGTCTGTCTGTCCTCAGCAAGACCACGGGGTTGTGCGGGGCTAGTCAATGGCCAGACACTGAGGCCCCCAAGCCTCTCTGCCCGCCTCCCCCTACCCCGGGAGGGGAAGCCATCAAGGCCAGGTCCCCGGGGAGTCCTAGTTACTGCCCCCCAGCCTGCCCAGGGGTGAGCAGGACCTGTCCCACCTCAGAAATGGTCCTGCCATGCAGAGGCCAGCCCTGTCCCCACCCCTGTCCTCCCAGAGGACAAGGAGGCCTCGCAGGGTCTTTGTGGACAGACAGGAGGACAGAGGGAGGAGACGGACAGGGGCAGGCACCGGGAGGGGGAGGGGTGCAGGCTGTTGGTCACAGAGGCCGCCTGGACGGAGCCGCTGTGCAGACAGGGCATCCTGCCCGGGCTCTGGGCCAGCAGACACGGAGTCAGCACCGGGCCGGCCGGCGGGCGGGAGCCAGGCCTAGCAGAGCCGTCTGCGTGGTGCAGGCCTCGCTGCTGGCCGCAGCCCTGCCACGTCCACACACCGCGGGGCCCGCCGCACACCTGCCCGATGCCCGTCTCTGGACTGGGCCTGGCGCAGCCCTTCCCCTGCAGGTCATGGCCTTCTTGGTGAGGTGAGACACAGTGGGGCCAGACTAGGGGGCGGCGTGGACTCCGGCGTGGGGCCCCGCTGCCTGGCCTCCTGCATGGGCTGTGCACACACCTTCCTCCCACACTGTCCTAAAATGAGCATCACAGGGACTCCCCCAAGCCCCCCGCCTCCTGCAGGGCGGCTTCCGGCTCACCCCGGGGTCTGGAGCTGCCTTGTGAGGGGCACCATCTCCCCTTCGGCAGCCCCAGGCCCCCAGCCGGGCGCACCTAACCACGGTCCACGCCTGTGGCTGCCCTGGGAATCGACCTGTCCCCATTCCTCAGAAACTGGCCTCAAAGGGAGTCCACACTGCCCAGGCTGGCCGTGGTGAGAGTTGGGGCCGGGGCTGGTTCTCGGCCCGGTGGACACCGCCGCCGCCCCCCAGCCTTCCGGTGCCTCCCGGTGCGCATGGCACCCTGAGGCTCAGGTCCCTGCGGGGACCCCGGGGCCAGCGTTGGCAAAGGCCGAGCAGGGCTGGCCCTGAGGTGCGAGGGAGCAGGGGGCAAGGCCCTGGGGCCAGGGCAGCTCTGTCACAGATTGGAGGGTCAGGCGGGATGCACCCGGACGCCTGGCCCTGTCCTGAAGCAAGCCCCTCCCTCCTTACCCACCTCCGAGCCTGCCAGCCCTGCACCTGTGTGCCTGGGCCCAGCCCTGGGGGTGCCCTTGCTCGGGGCCCTTGGGGTCAAGCTTGGACTCGGCCCCTGCCGCTCCCACACCCGCTGCACCCACACCCGGGCTGCCTGTCCGCCCAGCTCCAGCCACGCCCAGCGCTGCCAGGCAACACACTCCTGGGAGCTGGACCGCGCAGAGATCGCCAGGGCGACCAGGGGCCTCACAGGAGGAGCGGGGGAGCGGTGCCACCTCCCCCCGGCCCCCCCCGGCCCGGCCCTCGGGAGGCGCCTGCGCCCTGCACCCCCAGGGGCCTCGCAGGAGGAGCAGGGGAGCGGTGCCACCTCCCCCCGGCCCCCCCTCCCCCCGGCCTGGCCCTCAGGAGGCGCCTGCGCCCTGCACCCCCAGGGGCCTCGCAGGAGGATAGGGTGAGCGGTGCCACCTCCCCCCGGCCCCCTCCCTCCCCCTCCCCCCCCGGCCCCCCCTCTCCCCCCGCCTGCAGAGACGGAGGGCCGGTGGCCATGCTGCTGTCCACACTTAGGATGGAGGGCAGGGTGGGCAGAGCTTTGGCGGGCAGGCGGTCTGTAGCCTGGCCCTCGGGCTGCCCTGGCCTCAGCCCTAGCCTAGTGTGGTTTCAGCTGCAGGAGGGTGCTCCCTGTTTGCAGCCCTGGGGCCACTGCCTGGTGCCGCCTGGCCTGCAAGCAGCCTGCTTGGAGCCCGGCTTCCTCCCTCACAGGCCGGCCTGGGTCTCTCCCGGCACAGGACTGCATCAAGCCCGTGAAGGTGGATAAGAAGCCGGGAAGTGGCGTGGCTAAGATCCACATTGAGGACGACGGAAGTTACTTCCAAGTGCATGCTGTAAGCTGGGGGACCTGAGACACTTCCAGGACCTCGTCGGTGACACATGTGACCCTGAGTCTTCTGCTTCCCCCACCAGTCCCTCTCCCACCCAGACCTCAGTTCCTGGCCCCTCACTGGCCAGGGGTAGGGGCGGGGTAGGGCACCCAGGCCTAGCAGCAGGCAGACCTGTCTGCCTCAGTCCTAGATTTTCTATTCTGGCACCAGGACACCTACTTCCTTCCTAATTAAACAATCATAAGATCTAGGTGTGACAGTGTTAAAATTCACCCCAACTGTCTTCAGACTTGAACTCTAGGATCTTGACTCCTAGGTCTGTTCTGTTCTGTTGAGTCTGACACTACTGTCCACGCCACCGTCTCTCCTCTCTTGTGCACCCTGGCTTGTCCCCTCCTTTCATAGCCTGAGTGCACACCCAGGGGGCTGGATGACCGCCAGACCCTTGAGTGAGCGAGTCCACTTTTCTGCACTGACTTAATCCACGCCCTCCCTGTTCACATCACTCAGATATGCTAATGAATGTGACATCGATATGAACACCTAGGATGTAAACTTAACATTTCCATCATAAGTATGAAGTTTTTTAAAACATCGAGTTGGGGTTGGGTACACGAGTGAAGTGATAAACACCTGCCCAGCAGGTACCAGGCCCTGAGCTCAACCCCTGCTACTATCTTCCCCCTCAAAGGAAAAAAAGAAGACGATCGAGTAGCAGGGCTAGGGACTTGGCTCAGTGGCAGCGTGTCTTCCTGGCACACATAAGGCCAAGTTCAATCCCTAGCACCCCAAAAGTAGAAATGAAAATGGAGTGGCAAGCAGCCCAGATAGCTGCCGTGGAAGCTGTTTATAAAAGGAAGACAGGTCCTGCTGAGCCTAGGCCTGCGGGCTCTGAGCCCCACACAGAACCTTCCACCCGTGTTCTCCTCCGCAGGATGGTGGGACCCAGAAGCTGGAGAGAGCCAAGGTCTCGCTCAATGACTGCCTGGCGTGCAGCGGCTGCGTCACTTCCGCAGAGACCGTCCTCATCACCCAGCAGAGCCACGAGGAGCTGCGGAAAGTTCTGGATGCTAATAAGGTAAGCTGTGGAGCTCGGCCCCCGCAGCCCGCCGTGTTTCCGCCAGGCACCTGGTCCCCGGCCGCCCACCCGTTCCCAGGGGACTCGTGGGTCTCCAGGGCACTGCCCGAGCATGTGTTCACACTCCACCTGTCAGTCCTGGACCCTGAACTTTGGGTTCTGAGTGAGTGTACCTCGGTCTCTGGAGCGACGGCGCCCAGCTACGGCAGGCTGGGCACTGGGGATCTGCACCAGGCTTGCGGGGCCAGAGGCCTTCCTCCCTTGCTTTGCAGACAGCAGCGCCCGGTGAGCAGCGGCTGGTGGTGGTGTCAGTCTCTCCTCAGTCCACGGCGTCCCTGGCAGTGAGGTTTCAGCTGGATCCCACAGACACTGCCAGGAAATTAACTTCGTTCTTTAAGAAATTAGGTAGGCACAGAACGCGGGGTGCGTCACTGCCACAGAACAAAAGGGCATCTGGTGCCGGGGCCTCTTCCCACCGGAGTCACGCGTCACTCCCTGTGAACCCCACAGCAGAGACTCGGCTTCAAGTCTAACTTCAGCCTGAAGTTTTGCCTGGATGGCTGAGGGCAGGGTCTCGGGAGAAGCCCTCTGCATTCTGGTTTTGTGCTTTGCCTTCCCTGTTGTACTTTGGGGGTTCTGATGTGGTTTGGGAGGTTGTTTTGTTGGCTTTTTTTTTTTGTAGTGAAGTTTGAACTCGGGACCTTGTGCTTGCTGGACAGGCACGCTAACTCGGGCCAGACCTCCCCCAGACCTCGGCAGGCACGCTAACTCGGGCCAGACCTCCCCCCAGACCTCGGCAGGCACGCTAACTCGGGCCAGACCTCCCACCCAGACCTCGGTTCCTGCCTTTAAGGCAGTTCCGCGGCGCTCGGCCTGGGTCGGCCCTGGCTGGCTCTGTGCCGGGTGCTGGGCTGCAGGAGGACGTGGGTGCTGTGAGAGCGACCCCTGCTCAATGGGCTCCCGTTTCCAGCCGCCGGCCGCCGGCCCTGGCAGGGGGCCAGGGGCTGGACGTGGCGCTCACAGCCCAACCACAGGACACTGGCCGTGGGGTCAAGCTCCCTCAGGAGCACACTGATGCTATGGCTGGTCTGGTTTGTGGACTTCACAGTGCTGGGGCCTCACCCAAGTCCCGGGCACCCCAGGGGCCCAGGCCTGATTCCGATGGTGACAGTGGGTAGCGTGTTACCTGGCACGCGAGCTCCGGTCCTGGGGGCAGGGACTCCTCTCTGCACAGCCTGTGGGAGCTGCATGTGGCAGCCGGGCTGCGTATGAGCCCAAGGCATCTCAGGGACAGGGTTGGGGGCTCAGGTCTCTGCCGGTGGGGCGTGGGCACCCGGGGTGGGCCACGTAAGGTAGGCATCTGTGGGAGGAACATTGTCGCGGGCTGAGCTCACTTCCAGTGAAGGGTTGCAGAAGAGCCCGTGGGTGGGTGCTGGGGAGCAGGTGAAGCGGGGTCACCGCTGTGCGCAGCAGCGTCTTCTGGTGGCTGCTGGGGAACGGAATCTGCGCCCCACTGTTGATGGTTGTCCTCCTGTGGTACCAGCGTGTCCCACGGTGCCAGCCCCTGCCCCGCTGGCTCCTGCCACGGCGAGGTGTCAAGCGCCCCCCTCTTGCCACTTCCACTTCCAGGGGTGCACTACGTATTCGACACCGCCTTCTCCAGGAACTTCAGCCTCCTGGAGAGCCAGCGAGAGTTTGTGCGGCGATTCCGACGCCAGGTTGACTCCAAAGAGGCCTTGCCCGTGCTGGCTTCTGCCTGCCCAGGTGTGCGTGGGGCGGAGGGTGGAGGTGCCCCCCGGGTCGCCCGCTGTTGCCTGCCCCGCGGGGCCGGCTGCCTCGTGACAGCGGTGACACTGGGGGAGGGTCCCGCCCCCAGAATGTCAAGTCACTGCCAAGCTGCTAAGAGCCCCCCTGCTGCCCCGCGTCCCCGACACCCCCGACACCCGTTTGCTCCTCTGGCTCAGGTTGGATCTGCTACGCCGAGAAGACGCACGGCAGCCTCGTCCTCCCCTACCTTAGCACGGTGCGCTCTCCCCAGCAGGTCATGGGCGCCCTGGTCAAGGACTTCTTCACGCAGCAGCAGGTAGCGGCCCGAGCCGTGAGCTGGGGGAGGCGGGGCCTGCTGCCCGGGAACCCCACGGTGGCTGCCGTGGACAGTCTGGGTTCTCCGTCACCCCCATTGCCCAGGTGTCGCCAGGGGCCAGCTCTGAGATGGAAGTGCTTGTCACTTGCCCAGAGGTGGCCGGAGCCCGCACAGGCCGCTGGGTAAACACCGCCTGGCTCTGCCTGAGGTCCTGGCCAGCGGGGGCCGGGAGGGAGCCACTCAACGCAGCGCCCATGGCACCGTGTGCAGAGTGTGCACAGCTGGCCTTCCTGCAGGTCGGCCTCGTGGCATCCACATGCACAGAACCTTCTGAAAACTTGGTCTCACGGCTGACATCCTGGTCAGCCATGGGTCCCACTTCTCCTGTCATGGCCAGGCCGTCCAAGGTGGTGAGACCCCCATGCCCTTGTTCCCACAGCACCTGACCCCGGACAAGGTCTACCACGTCACGGTGATGCCCTGCTATGACAAAAAGCTGGAAGCATCTAGACCCGACTTCCTCAGCCGGGAGCACCCGGCTCGGGAGGTGGACTGCGTGCTCACCACAGGTGAGGCCTCCAGGGCGCGCCCCGCCAGTGTGTTGCTCGGACGCCCCCAAGGGCTCTGCGGCCCCCGCCGTGTCTCCTTATGTGTGTTGGGGGACAGGCAGCAGATCCCTGGGCTCGAACCTTCACCCCGCTTCTGAGCTGAGCAGCCTGCATCGCCCGGCAGGGCTGAGGCAGCCCTCCTAGAGTCCAGGGGTCAGCCAGGCTCGCTGGATGGCTTCGTGCTGAGCTGTGCGCTGTGGTTCCGCTTCAGGGGAAGTCTTCCAGCTGCTGGAGGAAGAGGGGGTCTCGCTCTTGGAGCTGGAGCCGGCCGCTCTGGACAGCCTGTGAGTCTATGCAGTCACTGGGGACGTTCACTTTGGCTTCCTAATGGCCTGGGGAGGAGGGGGGCCCTGTCCCACCTCTCTGCCTTCGTACACTGTGGCCTGCTTGGGCTAGGCAGGGGCTGCGTCGGGTATAGCTGAGCCCAGCCTTGTAGCTTCCAGGACCTTGGTGGTGTGGGTGGGTCCTGCCATCCTAGGGCCCCGAGGTGCGACAGGAGGCAAGGCTCAGCCCGGCTCAGCCCGGCGCAGTGGCTGGCGGCTGGGGGGGGGCACATTGACACACCCTTCCCCCAGGACCGGCAGCACGTGTGAAGAGCCCACCAGCCACCGGGGCGGGGGGTCCGGAGGGTACCTGGAGCACGTGTTCCGCTATGCGGCCCAAGAGCTCTTTGGGATCCACGTGGACGAGGTCACCTACAGACCCCTGAGGTGAGTGCCGCGCACTGCCCGCCGGCGCCGCCCCAAGGTGGGCGGGGAGACGCGCACAGCTTCCTCACAGGCTGTGCGACCCCCACCCGAGAGGCCGGCCGACCCCGCCTGCTGCACTCCATCCTTGCGGTTAAGGAAGCCAAAAGCCGGATGAGGTTCTGCTGGACCGGACGTGGGGGGAGCTGCCAGGAGCCAGGGACCCCAGCAGGCCTCCCCAGGGGCCGGGTACCCGCAGGGGAGGGGGCGTGACGCAAACACAGCCTGTTCCACCAGGAACAAGGACTTCCAGGAGGTGGCCCTGGAGAGGGAGGGCCACGTGCTGCTGCACTTCGCCACGGCCTATGGCTTTCGCAACATCCAGAACCTCGTACAGAAGCTGAAGCGGGGCCGCTGCCCCTACCACTACGTGGAGATCATGGCCTGCCCGTCAGGTAGCCGCCTGGGCACTGGCGGACGGCCTTCCACCAGTGCGGGGGGGGGGGGGGGGGGGGTGTTGGGATCCCCGCCTGGCACCCTAACTACCCTACCCTTGCTCTGCTCTGCCCCAGGTTGCTTGAACGGCGGGGGCCAGCTCAAGGCTGCGGACACGCCCAGCAAGCAGCTTCTCCTGCAGGTGGAGAGAAAGTACAGCATGGTCAGGACACGGGCGCCAGAGGACATACCTGAAGTCCAGGAGTTGTACCAGCGCTGGCTGCAGGGTGAGGGCTCGGAGCTGGCTGGCCGCCTGCTGCACACCCAGTACCACGCGGTGGAGAGGCCCAGCTCAGGCCTCAGCATCCGGTGGTAGGCTGCTTCCGGTCGGCGAGGCCATACACGCTCAGCCGCGGGGGCCTTCTCCAAAACTCAGTGAGCTGCAGGACCGTGCTGGGCCCCAGTGGCGCTCACCAGGGGCCACCTCACATGGACGGCCCGCACACACAGCCCGTGCACGGATAGCCTCGCACGGATGGTCCACACACACAGCCCATGCCTCCGGACTGGCCCTGCTGGGATGGGGCAGCCAGAGAGAGCTTCCAGAACCTCCTTCTCTGGCCAGAACTGACTTGCAAGGGCACCGACGCCCCATTCCTGGCTGTGATGACCCCCTCCTGGTGAACCCCATTCCTGCTCTCCAGGGTCAACCCTGAAGCCAGTGCAGAGGGCCACAGGGCTGGACTGCCCCACATGGGGCCTGGAAGGGAGGGGTGCCTGGCGCCCTCAAACCAGGTGTGTGTGAGGAAGATGGGGGCTGGGCTGTCCCCAGTCTGGCCCTCACCTGGTCCGGCCTTGTCCTAATAAACAGATGGCGTTTGGCACATCACTGAACCAGGCTTTGAGCACTTTATTCACAGTACCAAGCCCCTCCCTGCATCTGGCGGCCTCCTGGAACAGCAGGCCAGGGCGGCGCGGCGGCCAGCCGAGCCCAGCGAGAAGTCCCAGGCCAGGGACTGGCGGAGGCCCTTGTCCCTTGCCAGGGGAGGGGAGGACCCGGAGGGGGTCCTCAGGCTCACTTCTGCCGGAGTGCGCTCAGAAGGCCCCACTGCAGAGCCAGGAGAGCCCGGGCCTGGGGCTGCGGCGGCTCAGACATGTGCTGGAACTTTGCCCGCTCCCTGCAGAGCACCTCCAGGACCTGGGCCGGGGCTGTCTGGCCTGTGAACTGGCGTACGGGCCCCTCCCTATAAGGGAGAGCAGGTCTGGCTGGATGTCCAGGAGAGCAGGGATGGGCAGGCCGGGGGGTGACAAGAGAGTCAGGGAGCCAGATGAGCCTCCCGGGGACAGGGACATTGAGCGCCCGCCTCACTACCCCAGTGACTGCCATGGGGGCCCCAAGCACAGCGGGACACTGGCCCCGGCCAGCCCGTGCCGCAGGGAGCCCCGGCGGGCCCCCCACAGCCGAACTCACTCAACTCTCAGGAAAGGGTTGTACAGGAGCTCCTCGCCCAGGGTGGAAGGCACTGTGGGCACGTCCTCCTCCTCCCTCTCCTGCAATGACACAGGCCCTCGCCACCACAGGACGCCTCTGACGGCCACGGGCCGTCCAGCGCCGCCCGGGACTCCAGCGCTGGGCAGCGAGGCCCAGGCCCAGGCCACTACAGCCACGGGTGGCAGTGGTGCCAACCCCTGGGGCTCTGCCCCTGGGTCCCCGAGGTCAAACCAGGGCAGCGCCCCCACCACACCCTCCCAGGCAGGAGGGGACGAGGAGCGGCCATACCTGTGCCCAGGCCAGCTTGGTTCTCACGTGGTCATTGCAGGGCTCCACTTTCTGTGCAAACTCCAGATTGCTCAGCGTGTGTTCGTGCCCACAAAACACCTTCTGCGGAAAGCGGGTGCTCCGTGGCACAGGGATGTCCGAGTGCTTGGGGCCTGGCCGGGGTCCACGCCGGGCCGCGGCGTGCGGAAACCCTGCCACAGAGCCAGGGCCCACTCACCGTCTCCGGGGGCAGGCTACCCAGGATGTCCGTCAGGCTTTGGTACATTTGCTGAGCAGTGTCCTCTAAGCGCCAGCCACAGCCGGCCACCGACAGGGCGTCTCCTGGGGAGGAAGATGGGTCAGAGGAGGTGGGCAGTGTGCCCGGGAAGGGTGGCGGGTTCCCGCTCACAGGGCACCTGAAAAGAGGGCAGGTGGGTCGGGGCTGTCCTCCTCCCACAGGAAGTAGCTCATGTGGCCCGAGGTGTGGCCGGGAGTCAGGAGGCAGCGCACGTGTATGGCCCCAAACTGCAGCGCCGGAGTAAGGGACGTGAGGGCCTGAGGGCTGGCAAGCAGCCCCGGCAGCTCCCTGGGGTCCGGCCCGGCGCAGGCTCACCAGCAGCTCCTCGCCGTGGGCCAGCCTGCGGGTGAGCGCGCAGATGCGCTCGTCGGCTCCCAGCACGGCCAGCCCGGGCAGCAGCCGCGCCAG